GAATAAAATGGTGATCACCAGGATAGTATGTGGTATAAGAAATGTAGAGATGTAGGGTAAATGTTACAAAATAGCAGATAAAAAGGATAAACAAGTTAAAAACCTAAGGTACAACACGAGGACTATGGTTAATTGTACTGTATTGGGACTCCTGCTAAATAAATAGATTTTACCTTCTTTTGTCACAAAAATAACAAAAGTGGGTAACCATGTGAGGTGATGGGTATGTTAATTTGCTTCAGTATATTAACCATTTACCATCTATAGGTGTCCCAAAGCATCAGGTTGTATACCTTCAATATAGATGATACAATTCCATTTTTTTTTGTTCTTATTGCCATCTTCAGCCTTTGGATTCCTAAAACACTGAGAATCTAGCCCAAACTACTTCCAAGCACCTTCAGCCCATCTCCCCTTGTCAGCTCCTGAAGATGTTCTTCTTCTGTGTGTCACTGGTTATACACCGAGTGCATCCCTGTAGGAGTTTCACTGAGGGATGCTGAGGCAAAGGCTGGAAGGATTAAAGAATGACAGGGACTTCAGACAGCATCCTCTGCAGGACTCCCAGCTCAGAAGCAGACTGTGTGTGAAACTTCCTAAAGGCCTTCTCCCCAAAAACAAGTACCCACAAAATTCTGCATCTAATTTCCAAGAGTCCAGAGGCCCCTTATGGGTTCTCTATGCATGGGTTCCTTACCGGACCAAGAAACCTCAATCTAGTGTTTTTTGACTTGTGGACATTGGGCCACCAGGGTAAATGACATGCCTGTGGTCTCAAGTCTTGGCTGAGTTGGGTCTGGAATCCCAGTCTCTCTCATTCCATTCTGTTCCCATTGCCTGGCTCCTGTACTCACTGCTTCAAACTCAGCTGCTGGGATCTGATGATCTACTAGGCCAAACTGAACAATCAAAGAAGCCATGTTTTTGTACAGTTGTCCCTTGGTATTCACAGGGGTTTGGCTCCAGGACACTCTCCAGAGACCAAAATCTGTGAGTGCTTTTACAAAATGGCATACTATTTGCATATACCCTATGTAATCCTCCTATGTACTTTGTGTGTGTGTGTGTGTGTGTGTGTGTGTGTGTGTGTGTATGAGATATTGGGGCATTGAACCCAGGGGTGCTTTACTACTGAGATATATCCCCAGTCCTTTTTATTTTTATTTTTATTTTTATTTTGAGGCAGGGATCTCATTAAGTTGCTGAATTTGGCCTCAAACTTGAGATCCTCCTCCCTTAACCTCCAAAGTCACTGGGATCATGGGTGTGAGCCACCATACCTGGCCTGCCCATATACTTTAGATAATATCTAGATGAAAGAATATGTAACACAATGTAAATGCTACCTAAATAATTGTTACACTGTATTGTATAGGGAATAATGACAAATGAAAAATGTCTGTACATGTTGAGTTCAGATGTAATATTTTCCCAAATATTTTCAGTTTTCAGTTGGTTGAAGATGTAGAACTGGCAGACAGGGAGGGACAACTGTATACTCTGCTGCCACAGAATTTACACTGTGACGTTTCAGAAGCCACACCACTTAACCTTATCTTTGAAAATTCAGTAGGCATGATACATACTGCTGTGAAACAAATTGAACCTTCAATCTCTTTTTACCTTCCATTTATTTTTTATTTTTTCAGGGCTGGGGATTGAACCCAGGACCTTGTGTACGCTCAGCAAGTGCTCTGCCACTGAGCCATGCCCCTGGCCACCTTCACAATTGTCAAAGAGAAAATGTATTTTCACCCAAAACTCACCCACTTCTCCTTGAGGGCTGGGTTGTCCTCCCCAATGGCAAGGGGAAAAGCAGGGTCCAGGATTCTACCTGCTCAAATTGGCAGGTACTTGTGGTGAGGCTACAGTCCTTAGCCAATTTCTGCTCCACCAGGGCTGGCCACCATCTATGCCACAAGCTGATGTATAGAAAGAGCTGTGTGACCACCAAGTCCTAGGCTTTGCCAAAGGAGAGCTTGGAATCATAAGTAAAGGGAATGAAATTAAGGTTTATTTACTAACTGACAACCTACTCTGGGCTAAGCCCTGGGCTCCTGCTGGGCACACAGATGGACAGACATGGTTTCTATTCTTATAGAGCTTACAGCTCTTAAATAGTATCACCCCCAAAGAAGATTGATGAAGTAAAACTGGGACATCCCAGAGCCAGATCAACTGAGACAGCTCCTGGGAAGAACTCAGAGGCTAAAAATCATCGTACAGATGCTAGGCCAGCGTTGTCAGTGCACTGAGGTCTCCACAGCCATCGGCCCAGGGACTTCTTCCTTCATATGAACCCAAGAGCCTTCCAGAAATGGGTTGAGTGCTACTCCACATGAACTTTGCAGAAATAATCAGCTAGCATCCTGGGACTAAAGATTCCCAACACCTGGTTACACAATTCCTCTCGAACCCTAACATACCTTTGTCTTCTGTGTTTTGTGGCATTGGCCAATCATTTAGATTGTTGGTCCTACTATCTCTTGCCTCACCCTTTCATTGATCTACTTCATAGTTTTAAATCTTACATTATAGTAAATTTCTAAGCATTTTTTTTCCTACACTGAAAGTATGTTTAAGCCACCTTGAATTAGCCTATCTCTACTCTAGTGTTTTGTTAGGTTCCTATCTATAGAGGGAAGCCACTTTCATCTTGTACCCAAGTCAATAATGTCTCCAAGTAGGAGGATGATAGAATCCATCGGCTCTTTGCTCAAATGTTTAGGTCTCCAAAAATCCTGAACTTATGCAAATTATTTTGAAACTAAAATTTTTAGTGATTCTGAGCAAGTTTTGCCTTGCCCAACATTGATTCCTGTCTGAAGAAAAATCACTCTTTACGGTGGCTGCTATTGTTGAATTAATAACATGTGTTGATTGTAGAAAACTTACAAAAGCTCAGAGAGTATATAATAAACATTATAATGAATGTGTAATCCTAGCACTCAGAGATAAGGGGTGTGAAAATATTGGTGTACTACCTTCCAAGTTTTATTTTAGATGGGCCTATTTTCTTATGACTTAAGGATTATACTATAACAATATCAACACAGGATTTTCAACATACTTTTTCCAACTTAAATATATGTTATGGACATCTTTCAACATCATTAACTTTTCTTCTATAGGCTATATACTTGCTGGTCCCCATCTATCCTTATCCTTCATCCAGTGCTCATGGGCTAGGCAATGAAGAATATGTCACAGCCATCAGCCTTTGTCAGGTGTCCTGCTGCATCCCTCTCTCCAACAGGGTTGGCCCATTAGCATGTGGAGCAATGTTTTTGAAGTTTACTGCTCAAATGTCTTTTCCAGGGGCACTGGAAAAGGGAGATTCTGTTCTCCACGTGGCACTGAGTTCTGATCCAAACAACTGACTGTTCCCTACTCTTCATTTTTCTCTTTCTTTTTTTTTTAAAAGGAGAGAGAGAGAGAGAGAGAGAGAGAGAGAGAGAGAGAGAGAGAATTTTTTTATATTTATTTTTTAGTTTTCAGTGGACACAACGTTATTTTTTATTTTTATGTGGTGCTGAGGATCAAACCCAGTGCCACGTGCATGCCAGGTGAGCTTGCTACCGCTTGAGCCCCATCCCCAGCCCCTTTCTCTTTCCTTTTAACAATGGAAGTCACAGGGTGTTGGCCCAGTGTGGGGCCAACATTTAGAGACTACACTTCCACGCCTACATTCCCCATGACAATGTGCACTTAGGTTCTGGCCAATGAGGTGTGAGCAAGTGTACAGTCTGGGTCCTTGACATTTAAAAAGGAAATTGTATGTGCTATACATTTTCTCCCTGCCCATGGGCTCAAATTCAGCTGGGATTGGTGTGAGGCAACTTTACTGTATTGTTAAAGACAACACCTTGAGAAGTATTTGTTCCCTGTTACTTTTCATATGCACGCATTTACTACACGCATGTGCACACCATTTCATCATCGTGTACACCCCCAGGAAACCACATTGTATTCCCACTATACTTTCTTCTCCTGTTTTGCTGCAGGAACATCTTTCTCTGCATGTTTTCTCTGTGCCAGTTTTGTGTTTCTTCTCCTGCTTCCCCCCCAATACACCTATTCAGTGGTTGGGGCACTAGAAGGACAGGACACACCGGGGACACCCTAGTTGTAGCAACCCTGGTCTTGGTATGTCCTTCTATTCCAGGAAAGACAATGGCAGGGTGGCGGATGTGTTCTAGGAGAGCCTCCCAGGTGGCAGGTGCATGGGTGCCTGTGAGGCAGTGCTGAGGGCCTGACCGTCAGTGCCGTTGCCACACCCACCTGTCCACCAGCTCTACCTGCCTACTCCAGCCCTGGGAGGGGGCTGCTCACTGGCCCAAGCCCCTTGCCCTTAGGCGCTAGAGGGAGGAAAAGGCTTTGACAATTACTTTTTCCAAAAGTGTTTGACAGTTTCTCTTTCTAAGAATACTGGGTGGCCACCACCCTGGCCATACATGGAAAGAGGAGTTCCTTGTCCTCTGGTTCTGAAATGAGTTGGAGGGCTAGTTCCAGGTCCTGGTCTCTGAGCAATTCCGGCAATAGCTTAGAAAGAGCCACCTCTGTTCTTTAAACTCTTTTTTTTTTTTTTTTTTTTTTTTTGCTGCTCTCAGAGTTTAGCTCATCACAGACTTTTGGACTTCAAAGCCAATCTTTCTTTCTGTGTCTCTTCCAATTCTTTATTTAAAATTGTTTTTCCTATTCCTTTAAACCAGGCCAAGTGCAGACTTTTTAAAAGCTGTCTGGCATGTATGTGGCTCAGTAGTAGAGCACTTGCCTAGCATGCATGAGGACCTGGGTTTCTCCCCAGCACTGGGAAAAAAAAAAGAAAAAGAAAAGCTAGCTGTTTCCTAGTTTTATAAATATGAGACCAAACCAGGTCAGGTCATTCTCTTCTCAAATTCCTTTATCTAGGTCAAAAGAATCTGTGAAAACTCTGGCAGGCTAATAACAAAAGAACTTTGTGCTTTTTTTTTTTTCCTTTTAACTTTCTCTTTCTAATGGATAGATGGAGTTGGAGGGAGGGAAAGGAAGTCATGCCTGTCCATGGGCCACCTGGCTGCTTGCCACCACTTTTTCTCTCTCTGACCTTGAACACAGGACATGGAAGATGAACTGCATCAGGTCAGAGCTTCTAGTTCTTAATGTTTTCTATCTGCTGGCAGCCCTGTCCGGCGGTGTATCACCCCGAGTCTGGAACAAGGGCAAGATGCTCAGAGGCTATAAGAGACTCACCCTAAATCCCACAGCAGGAAAAGGCTGAGCTGGTCCCTGGTGGTGGGTGGGTCCATTGTGCCAAGCACTGAGGGACCTCTGCAGACCCAGGAGAGCTGCAGGTGGGATGCAGGTAGGAGGACTCTTCCAGAGGGGCCTTAGAGCCTCATGATTCTGGTGATATTCCAGCTGAGATACATTGTGGACAGGACCATCCACTGTTTCTTGTATAAAACGGAGCCTCACCTCCCTAGGCTGAAGATCTTGGTCTACCTCTGACTGCTGTGGGACTTGGGCTGAGTGTAGACCCCTTTGTGCTTTAGGTTTCTGTAGAACATGTGTTTTGAGAATGAAATGAAGAAGATGTCTATAAAGTGCCCCAGTGGGCACAGAGTTGTGTGGATGCTCAAAAGGGTGCTGCTCAGAAGGGTAGCTGCTGGGAGGATGAATTCTGTTTTGCTTCCTCCTCCTCCTCTCCCTCCTCCTCTTTCTCTCCTTGCCTTCTTCCTCCTGCTCCTCATCTCCCTCTTCCATTCTCCCTCCTCTGCCTTCTCTTCCCTTCTTTCTTATTCTTTTCCTCCCCCACCCTTTCCCCCTCCCCTCCTTCTTTCTGTCCTTCCTTCTTTCTTTTCATTCTCCTTTCCCTCCTTCCCCGTCTCCATTTCCTCTCTCTCTCCATCCCCCCTTCCAATCTTCTCATTTCCCTCCATCCTCTCCCCTCCTTCTTCTCCTTCTCCTCCCCCTCAGTTCTCTGCATCTGCACTGGGCTTAGCAAGGAAGGAGAGCTCCACATCTTCTGCCAGAGGTAGCCTAAGAGGGCAGTAAGGAAGGCAGTTCCTAGGGCTAGAGCCAGCCTGGGCTCTGTGTGCCTTTGACTCTCTTTCTGGTGGCACCAGAGATCACACAGTCCGTTATCTACGAATCCATGGATATCCAATGGATAACCACAAATCATGATTGGCTCTCCACAATCCATTCTTTGGACTCTTTCTTTTAAGGGTCCCCCATCACATTTTAAGAAGTGGTAGAATTTGAATCAGAAGTATTTCGTGACACAGTTTTAGGTTCCCTAGTTAGTGGCAGCTAGTAGGAAGATGTGACAAAGAGTAAACGGCTTGTCTTCATCTCTATGGCTTGTATGCGAGAAGGAGAGATGGAAACGGGAGCCACCAACTGAGATAAATCAGGTAGGGCAGGAGGCAAAGTGTGCCAGGTCAGAGGTAGGCAGAGAAGGATCATTGTATCTGGAAATGTGGGAATCTTCCTGGAAGAAAGATCCACCTAAGATTATGTAATGCACCATGGCCTTCAAGAGACAGTGAGATGCTCTTGGTAGAGGGAAATGAGGTCTTTCCCCGGGCTCAGTCTGATACCCACAGCTGATACCTACCCAGAGGCATTCAAGCATGAGGACTGCAGCACCCACAGAGGATATAGGGGCCCAGTCCACTGTCTCTGGGACTATCCTATGTTCCTGGGGAGGTACCATGGCTACTGAGGTGACACCTTAGCCCATGTTCCATTTGAACCCAGTCCAGTCTCTTCCAACAGAGGCCTGGCCTCTTCCTGAAACGCTGGCTGAGCATTAAGGGTTGTGAGGTGAACGGGCAAGGAGGGCTGTCCTCTTAGGGCAATAAAATGAGGTTGAGATTGCAGATGAATTTAATGTCAATTCATTAAAGTCAGGAGGAAATGGGAGTTTGTGATGTTCTGATTTTGTCCTTAAAGGAAGTCACATCAAAGGAACATGAGTAGCCTGTTGTGGTTTAGATATGAGGTGTGTCCCAAAAGCTCATGTGTGAGACAATGTAAGACATTTTAGAGGTGAAATGGTTAGATTAGGAGAGTCTTAACCTAATCCCCTGATAATTAATTAATCCCCTGATAGGGAGTAACTGATTGGTAACTGTAGGCAGGTGGTAAGTGGCTGGATGATGTGCCTTTGGGGTGTGTGTGTGTGTGTGTGTGTGTGTGTGTGTGTGTATATATATATATATATATATATATATATATATATGCACTATATAACTAAGTTTATTCTTTTTCTGTTTCCTAGTGATCATATCTTAAGTTGCTTTCCTCTGTCACATCCATCTACCATGATATGCTATCTCAACTTGAATCCAGAGCAATGGAGTTGGCCACCTGTGAATTCAGACTTTTGAAACCATGAGCCCTCAAATAAACTTTTCCTCCTTAAAATTATTCTTGTCAGGTCTTTTGGTCACAGCGACGAAAAGCTGACTGGAACCAGTCCAGTCTACTTTATTGATTTATTTGCAGTGCTCTGGATTAAACTCAGGGCCTCACATGTGCTGGTAGTAAAAGTGCTTACTTTTACCATTAAGCCACATCCCTAGCCCAGCCCAGACTCCTGATCTAATGCAATGAGAAAATTTATGGGGAGGTAAATACTAGTGAATGAAAACCTGATACCTGTCTTAGTTTGCTTTCTTTTGTTGTAACAGAATACCACAGACAGAATGAAAATTTATTTGGCTCATGGTGATAGAAGTTGGAGAATCCAAAAGCATGGTGCCAGCATTTAGTGATGGCCTGTGTACTATCTTATTCCATGGTGGAAGGCAGAAGGGCAAGTGAGCATGCAAGACAGAGAGAGGATAGGCTTGAACTTCATCCTATTAACAGGAAACCACTCCAGTAATATTGAACCCACTCCAGTAATGATGTTATTAATCTATTCCTCTACGATCTACCTCCAATACCATCACAATGGCAATTCTATCTCAGTGTGTTTTGCAGGGGACATACAAATCATACTGTGTCTGAGCCACTAGAGGGCCTTTGATGGCTTTCAAGGAACCAAGTGAAGGGGACAGGATAATGCAGAATCATTAGTGACTGTGCCTGTGTCATACTGTGTGTGAGTCACACATAGTATCTGATGCACCACAGTGGGGAGAGATGGGTGGCTCTGCTTGCTGGCCTCAGAAAGACATGATACACAGGCTGCATGTTGCTGTGGCTGGCAATGCTTCATACAAATGCATGCTCATTTCCATTTTCCTTCTCTCTCATTGACTTTTAAAATTTCAGGTTATTTTTTAAATAGTGCATTCTAGTTACACATAATATTGGGGTTCATTTTGACATAATCATACATGCCTGGAACATAATTTGTTCCAGTTCATTTCCCAGTATTTTTCCTTTCTCTTTCATTTTTCCTCTTCTGTTCTCTTTTCTTTACTCTACTGATCTTTCTTTTATTATTCTGGATATACCCAAAGGTGAAATTCACAGGTACATAGGAGAGTTTGGTCAGATTCATTCCACTGTTCCTACCTTTTCTTGTCTGTCCTTTTTCCTCCTTGATCCTTTCTCTCTACTCCACTGATCTGTCTTCTATTTTTCCCTTGTTTTGGTCTAGCTTCTGCATATGAGAGAAAACATTTGACCCTTAACTTTCTGGGTCTGACTTATCTCTTTCATTTTTAAACTTAATTAATTAATTAATTTTAGTTAGGTATATATGACAGCAGAATGCATTTTGATTCATCGTTTACAATTGCAGCATAACTTTTCATTTTTTCTGGTTGTACACAATGTAGCATTGCATCATATGTGCAGTCATAAATGTACCTAGGGTAATGATGTCCATCTCATTCTACCATCTTTCCTGCCCTCATGCCCCCTCCCTATCCTTTCCCCATACAACCCCCCCCCACCCATTATGGATCAGCATCCACTTATCAGAGAGAACATTCAGCTTTTGTTTTTTGGGGATTGGTTTACTTTGCTTAGCATGATATTTTCCAGCTCTACTCATTTACCTGCAAATGCCAAAATTTTATTCACTTTTAATGCTGAGTGATATTCCATTGTGTATATACCACATTTTCTTAATCCATTCATCTGCTGAAGGGCATTTACGTTGCTTCCACAGTTTAGTTATTATTCAGCTGCTATGGTTCAGTTGCTATAAACATTGTTGTGGCTGTGTTACTATAGTATGCTGATTTTAAGCCCTTTTGGTATAGATTGAGGAGTGGGATAGTTGGGTCAAATGGTGGTTGCATTCCAAGTTTTCTAATGAATATCCATACTGCTTTCCAGGTTGGTTGCACCAATTTTCAGTCCCACCAACAATATGAGTGTGCCCTTTCCCCTCACATCCTCACCAACATTTATTGTTGTCTGTATTCTTGATAACTGCCATTTCTAACTGGAGTGAGATGAAATCTTGGAGTAGTTTTAATTTGCATTTCTCTAATGCAAAGAGACATTGAACATTTTTTCATATATTTGATGATATAATGTATATCTTATTCTGAGAAGTGTCTGGTTAGTTCCTTAGCCCATTTATTGATTGGGTTGTTTTAGTTTTTTGGTGTTAAGGTTTTTGAGTTCTTTATATATCCTGGAGATTAGTGCTCTATCTGATGTGTGTGTGTCAAAAATTTGCTCCCCAAATGTAGGCTCTCTCTTCACCTTATTGATTGTTTGTTATGCTGAGAAGAAGTTTTTAGTTTGAGTTGATCCCATTTATTAATTCTTAATTTTATTTCTTGCACTTTAGGAGTCTTGTTAAGGAAGTTGGGGACTAATCTGATATGATGGGGATTTGGGCCTACTTTTTCCTCTACTAGGTTCAGGGTCTCTGGACTCATTCTTAGGTCTTTGATCCACTTTGAATTGAATTTTGTGCATGGTGAGAAATAGAAGTTTATTTTCATTTTGCTGCATATGGATTTCCAGTTCTCCCAACACCATTTATTGAAGGGGCTATCTATTTATTGAAGGTGCCAATCCATGCTGTTTTTGTTACTATAGCTTTGTACCTTAATATCTAGTATTGTGATGCCTCCTGCTTCTCTCTTCTTGCTGAGGATTGCTTTAGGTATTCTGGCTCTCTCTTTTTTTCCCCAAACGAATTTCATGATTACTTTTTCTATTTCTATAATGAATGACAATGGGATTTTAATGGGAATCACATTGAATCTGTATAGCACTTTAGGTAGTATGGCCATTTTGACAATATTAATTTTGCCTATTCAAGAGCATGGGAGATCTTTCCATTTTCTAAGGTCTTCTTCAATTTCTTTCTTTATTGTTCTGTAGTTTTCATTGTGGAGGTCTTTCACCTCTTTTGTTGATTTCCAAATTTTTTTTGAGGTTATTGTGAATGGGGTAGTTTTCCTAATTTCTCTTTCAGAAGATTCATCACTAATGTATAGAAATACATTTGATTTATGGATATTATATCCTTCTACTTTGCTGAATTCATTAATTAATTCTAGAAGTTTTCTGGTGAAGTTTTTTGGATCCTCTTAGAATCAAGTTGTCAGCAAATAATGACAGTTTGAGTTCTTTTTTTCTATTTATATCCCTTTAATTTCTTTCGCCTGTCTAATTGCTCTAGAGAAAGTTTCAAGGACTATGTTAAATAGAAGTGGTGAAAGAGGGCATCCCTGTCTTGTTCCAGTTTTTAGAGGGAATGCTTCCAATTTTTCTCCATTTAGAATGATGTTGGCCTTGGGTTTAGCATAGATAGCTTTTACTTTGTTGAGATATGTTCCTGTTATCCCTAGTTTTTCTAGTGTTTTGAACATGAAGGAGTGCTGTATTTTGTCAAATGCTTTTTTCTTCATCTATTGAGATAATCAGATGATTCTTATCTTTAAGTCTAATTGATGTGATGAAGTACATTTATTGATTTCTGTATGTTGAATCAAACTTGCATCCCTGGGATGAATGCCACTTGATCATGGTGCACTCTTTTTGATATATTTTTGTATTTGATTTGCCAGAATTTTATAGAGAATTTTTGCATCTATGTTTATCAGGGATATTGGTCTGAAATTTTCTTTCCTTGATATGTCCCTGCCTGGTTTTGGTATCAGGATGATACTAACTTAGTAGAATGAGATTGGAAGGGTTACTTCCTTTTCTATTTTATGGAGTAATTTGAGGAGTATCGGTATTAATTCTTCTTAAGTTTCATAGAACTCAGCTGTGAATCCATCTAGTCAGGGCTTTTCTTGGTTGTTAGGCTTTTGATGGCATCTTCTATTTCCTTGCTTGAAATTGATCTGTTTAAATTGTGTATGTCCTCTTGACTCAGTTTGTGTTGATCATATGCCTCTAGAAATTTGCCAGGATCTTCAAGTTTTTCTATTTTACTGGAGTATAAATTTTCAAAATAGTTTCTAATTGTCTTCTGTATTTCAATAGTGTCTGTCATGATATTTCCTTTTTCATGACAAATTTTACTAATTTGAGTTTTCTCCCTCCTTCTTTTCATTAGGGTGGCTGAAGGTTTGTCAATTTTATTTATTTTTTCAAAGAAACAGCTTTTTGTTTTATCAATTTTTTGAATTGTTTCTTTTGTTTCAATTTCCTTGAATTCTGCCCTGATTTCAACTATTTAATTATTTAATTTATTTTGATTATTTGTTTCCTGTCTTCTACTATTTTTGGTGTTGGCTTATTCTTCTTTTTCTAGGGTTTTGAGATGCAATGTCAGGTCATTTATTTGTTGACTTTTTCTTTTTTTTTTTTTGTTGACCAACTTTCTTGTTTATTTATTTTTTTAATTTTTTTTAAATTTTTTTTAATTTTTTATTTTTTTTATTGGTTGTTCACAACATTACAAAGCTCTTGACATATCATATTTCATACATTAGATTGAAGTGGGTTATGAACTCCCAATTTTACCCCAAATGCAGATTGCAGAATCACGTCGGTTATACATCCACAATTTTACATAATGCCCAATTAGTAATTGTTGTATTCTGCTACCTTTCCTATCCCCTACTGACTTTTTCTTTTTTTAATGAATGAGCTTAATGCAGTGAACTTCCCCTTAACATTGCCTTCATAGTGTCGGAGAGATTTTGGTAAGGTGCTCTGGAGTTCTCATTTACTTCTAAGACTTTTTTAAAATCTCCTCCCTGATGTCTTCTGTTATTCATGCATCATTTAATAGTGTATTCTTTAGTCTCCAGGTTTAGGATAACTTCTTTTTTAATTTTATCATTGATTTCTAATTTTATTCCATTGTGGTCAGATAGAATACAGGGGAGTATCTCTACTCTTGTATTTGCTAAGACTTGCTTTGTGGCATAACATATGGTCTATTTTGGAGAAGGATCCATGTACTGCTGAGAAGAAAGTATATTTGCTCATTGATGGGTGGAATATTCTATGTATGTCTGTTAAGTCCAAATGATTAATTGTATTAT